TCTATAAATGCAGCATTGCTTGTTAAGCACTATTTCAGCCTCAGATTGCTGTCTGTAAGCTCATAAATGAGCAGAGTTTACCTGTTTTATGTTCCTGAGGCATATGATTTCTTTGACTATTCATAAAATAACTGGTTCCTCCCTGGAAATGTATATTTCACACTTCTTATCATAAATAATAATTTGTCCTTAGATTTGTCCTAAAAATGTTTCTCGTAATTCCCATATTTAGAATTCATTGATCATCCCAGCCAAGGAGTAGAAATCATATCATGTGAATTAGATGACCAGTCTCACATCACTGAATAATGAAAAAACAAATAACTGGGCAACACAAAAATAATTCCTAGGCTTCAGTTCAGTTAACAACTTTAATGAATGTACTCAAATACTGAGCAGTTCAGAATTAAGGAATGAGTCAGAGAAAGAAGAGAAGGTTGAACTTATTGGGTGCTATATTTTTGGTGAACATTTCTGCCAGCTGTAGTGAGTACGTTTCTGTCATGAGGCTGACGCTGTCCTCTTTGCATTCTGCCCATCACCTTCACTGAAGACCAGGAACCTCTTCTTAATTCTTTCTGTGTTGCTGGGGCTCCTAAAACTTTATGTCTTTTATGCTGATATTTATTTACTTGCTCTAAAAGGTACTGCAAACCAATTTACAGTTATGTATAGCATCACTTTTTACATGTCACCATATTAAAGAACCTTGTAACATTTCCATTTCAAAACCTTATTTCAGGTTTTATAAATCCTCCCTGCTTCTAATTACATCAGGCTGAAGACAGCAGTGTAAATGTTAACTCTAGAGACTGATTTACAAGGAATGGTAGGCATCTATTTATTTTAAAATATGAGGCATCAGAAAAGGCAGTGATTTTGCATAGTCTCTTTTTTTAATACTAAGCTGTAATTCACAAGAGAACAAAAAAGCTCTGATTATTTACCCTGTAATGGGAAATAAGTTGAGTGGAATTAATGCAACTACAGTATTAAGAAATAAAAGGAACTGGCTAAAACTTTCAAGGGTTGTCTTTTTTACATTGTCCTTTACATAAGAACACAAGGGATTGCTTGGAGAGATTCAGAGCTAATATACGGAATGAAGAAAAATATTTTTTTCTTTATAAAGTTTATGATCATTGTCTGCTCTGGGGGTTAATCAAGGCAAGCCTTGTGGCTGAATTGCAAATAGGAGCTATCAATTTCATGGTGTATTAGAAGCAGCTATTGCTTTACAAAGTATGGGCCGTGTCTTTGCCTAGCGAAAACTGGTATCCTTGTATTTTGTGAATGAAATGCTGGAACTGCTGGTGCCTCGAGCAGTGAAACACTGATGCAAGCTACCTGGAGACTAGGGAATAACTTTCATTTGAGGTTTTGAATGGTAAGCTAGACAGCGTCTTCTTTGCCTTACTATTCACCTGTGAAATCTCCCAGCCACATCCCAGAATAAGGCTGAGTCAAGGATTACGTGAGAGAGAGTGACCCCTACAAACCCATTAGACCTGATGGCTACCTCCAGCAAAGGCACTGAGAGAGCTGGCCAGCTTGTGCACTATTATCTTTGCAAGGTCAAGAAGATCAGGGAGTTAACAGCCAAGTTAGGGTGTTGCAGTCTAGGTGGGTAGAGAGCTAGATAGGTAAAAAATTGGTAGGCTCGTGGGTGTGAGAGGATATTGCTGTTAGCTCGTAACCTGTTTGGATGCTAGTAACAGTGGGATGCCACAGGGATCTGTCCTGGGACTCGTCATGTTTAACATCTTTATCATTGGCCTGGAGCAGGCAACAGAAGGCACTTCTGTGGGGTTTGCAGATGACACCAAACTGGGGTGACACCAATCGAGAAGCGGGAGGGCAGGCTGGAGGAACAGGCCAGCATGGATGCTGTTGGTCATAGGCGGGAACAAAGGTGTGCTGCGTTATGTAAGCAGAGGATACGATACAAAATGTACAGATCTTTCTCAGCCACCTCCAGTTCTCTTGTTTACAGCGCAGCTTTAGTTGTTACTTGTTGTATTCTGTTTAATCCCTCTTTGCAGTCAACTACTGGGCATTGACCAGTGCCAAGGGCCAGGAAACATCACTCCACAGTACTATCTTTATTTCAGCTTTCAGTATGTTACTGTCCCTTAGGCCCTGGTAAATCTCATAAAATCCTTTTCAGATTGAAATGCTACAGTTTCCAAGCTCTATCATGTTTTACAGCCTGTATTTCTCTATAGTTCTCTTAGTCTCATGTCGACAGTCTTTAGGTAGCAGTTTCTTGGCTGGTAAATGTCTTCCTTATTCTTAAATTTATCCATTTTCTTTCATTCAGAGCAATGTGTGGGGATAATAAATTGGCTCGCAAGTACCTGACACAGCTTCTTAGTTCTTTCTGCCATGCCAGTTTTTCATAATACTGAATCCTAGGGATGCCTGGAAGAAGCCAGCAACTTTTTTCCCACTTACACGTGTCCCAGAAGAGTGCAAGCTGTCTGGATTTCTCTAATAAACCCATTGTATGGATGTGCTTCCACAAAAGGTGTTCTAATAGTTTCATAGATTTATTCCAGAATATGATAATAAACAGTTGTTTCACATGTCAATTTTAAGGCTTTCAAAATGTAACTATGTACATGCATAAGATCAGAGCATAAATCAGCTCAGTAAAACAGCTTAGTAAATATTTATGAGCACAGGGCTCTTTGTTTCACACTTAATCCTTCCACGTGCTCATCTTAAATTTTCACTTGCTTTAGTTTATGGCTGGTAAGTCTGGGCCGAGTACCTGACATTGCTATATTGCCACCTGTTTGCTCTGGTATTGTGTATACTACAATCCTAAATCTGTATTGACTGCAGGTGAATGTATGATCTATGTTTGCATAAAGGGGCAGATTCTGAATTCTGATGGATCTGTGTGAATTTTAGTAGGTACTATGTTGCTAAACTAAAGCATAGCCTGGATTTGTCTATGTGAGCTGCCATCCCTGCAGTGGCTGCAGGCAAGGCAGGACTCAAGTTCCCTGTTTGTGTTGGTTTGTTTTGGATGGGGCTGGTTATTCAGGAGGAAAAGGAGAGACATTAGAAAGATGGATGAAAGGATGAAAGGTAAAGGTGTGGAATGAAGGAGACATAAAGAGGCCATGAAGGAGCAGTGGGAAAAGAATCAGAGCTCAGGATACAGCAGAGCCAGTCTAGTGGGGACTGCAAATATAAGTTACCATCTCATGCAAAAGTCTTTGCCTCCTTGGCTTCTTCTGTGGCCGTGATCCTTGCCCCAGGCATCCTGGCATTTCGGTGGCCCAGAGGAGAGGGAATTACTTTTCTACACCTTCCTTTGCAGCAGTCACAGCTGAGGGCAGAAGTACGCAGTCATATAGGCATAATTTTTTGCAATTTTTACAAAGTTATGCATGTGCTCACTACTCCTATTTGTGCCCATAGTGCTGTGATTTCTATTACTTGTCACTAATTCACACCAAAATCTCTGACTTAGTTGCATTTTCTTCCTTTCTTACTATTGATATAATAACCAGAAACAAAATCTGAAAATAACATACTGATAATTTTCAGCATTTGTTTAACCAGATCCTTGAAGTTTCTGAGTGGTCAGTTTGGACCACTTTTCTTCTTTCTTGTCTGTTGGCTTTCCAGCCTTTTTGAACTGCAACACACAAGGGGTCTGAACAGGTGGTGCTTGTGGCAGTTCAGGATGGATTATTCTCATTGAGGAGCTGGTTTTTGCTGCTTTGTGAGAAGCTTTGGCAGATCAGGAGCTGTTGCTCCTGAGATCCTGCCAGTCATTCTTTCCATGTGTTTCTGTATGTCTTCACTGAAGTTGTGTGGAATCAGCAGAAAGGGGGTTTTTGGGTGTGAAAACATTTTCCATGATATTTACACATCTTCAGAGATTTGTAAGGACAGCCAGATACAGTGCCATTTAAACAATTACTTGTATTTAATCATGTTTGCATTTTCGTTAGTGCACCACTGGCGTACTTAAGGAAATAAAATCCTCTTTGATCAAATAGGACATTTGTCTTTGCTGAGACGTGCTTAAGGCTTTTATTCTTTCATTTGTGTAGTTAGTCAAAAAAGATCTAAGAACTTTTGCAGGTGACAACTTCCAAGTGTGTCCCTTCACCTCATGTTTCCTGCTGGCTGGTTCCAGGCAAGTCACATCTATAGCTTTCTGCAGCTGTCAGGTTGCTCCTCCGAGATGCCGTGCTCTCCACATCCAGGACACAGGGCTGGGGTTAGATTCAGGTGTTGTGAGCTAAGGACCTGTGGGATATGGAAATGCAGAGTGGCCACCATGAAAGCATGGACATTTCAAGAGCATCTTGAGAGGAATTAATGATGACATTGCTCCCTGTCTACTTCCTAGAAAACAAGAGAGCATAGTTCTGTTTTTATTAACTCCAGTGAGATTGATAGAAAACCTCTGCTTCTGTGAAATTAATTGAGTAGGCACTGGAGTGTATCCTCACACTAGCAGATACCCAGCCAAGTCCGAGATGTTTCCTTGAATGTGCAGCACCAGTTCTTTCTGTAACAGGGAGCAGCAAGCAAACCCTCAGAAATAGTGGCCTTGATGTTACATACCTGCTTTACCTACAGTCCTTCTTCATCTTGGAGGATCCAGGACTGGGTTCCCTGCTGAAGCTTACTCTTAAAATTATACCTCTCCAGAGACCTGAGATTGTGGACGACCTCTGTTTGCAACACTAAGTACAGTAAATGCTATTGTATTATCCAACAGTAGCAAATTAAATAATCCCACTCTGTCACTTTCTAACAGGATAATATTAAAGGCATTCCTCTGAGGTGGAGAGTAATAATTTGCTAATTCCCCTCAGTATTTCATGCTTCTCAGTAGTGCAGCTAATTTTCTCTGAGTACCTTATTAACATTCACAATGACTTTGCAGTCCCACCCTAATAGCTCTCTGCAGAGGCAGTGACTGTGAAGGTGAGAGCTGACAGTGACATTTTCCTCCTTTTTCTCTGCAGACTGTATTATCCTGGTTTCCATCCGCTGAGGGCTGTCCAGCTGATGCGAGTGGGCAAACTGCAGTACAGTCAAGACATGTTTCCTCAAGCGCTGGAGACCTTGAAGCAGGTCAGTATTTTGAAATGTTTCTTCTTTGTCCCCCTCCCTCGCTTCCCCTGAACCTGCTGTGTGTCCCCCACTTCTGCTCTGACTGTACTTCATGCCTTTGCATACTACTCACTGCTTTTTCCATCAGTGGTGTTTCCCTAGGCTGCAGCAGACTATGGCGATGGGTCACAGTTGCTCAGTGTTTCAGGCACTGACTTCCTCCAGTATCAGTCACTGCTAATTACAGTTCGATAGCTCAGAGGTGCCTGGATGAAAAATTACTATTAGATCCAAAGAGATAAAAATATCTCAGTGCCTCATACTCCTCCTTACCATAGGAAAGTGAATCTGGGAGCACTGAAAGTACAAGAACAGGAGCAGAGCCACAGTTTCTACCCTCCTTTTTCTGTATCAGGGATCTGTGGTTTCAGATTGGAGAACTTTGCCTTTAATGCTTGTGTTTTATTGTGAGCCACACTCAAATCAACAGGCATGCTTCTTGATCCCTCCTATTTCTATATCATTTATCATCTTTCTTTTCTTTGATCTGGTTTTGCAGCTGGTGCTTTGCTAGTTACATTTCAGCTTTAAGCCACCCCTCTTGTACCTGTGCTGACTTTTGTATTAATTTCCTCCTACCCCAGGCTCTTATTTGTCCTGCTGTTATATTGCTGTTAGTATCATCTTAAATATATTGAAGAATCCGCTTCCATGTGCAACATGTCCGTCTCAAACCCTCAGTCGCTGCTAGGGTGTTTTTCTCTCCCTGGAAGATCTGCTGCCCCCAGTTTCCCTCAAAGAGGTCTTATGCTTATTACCTTGTATTATTGATTGTCCCGTGGTCAGCTTGGCCTGAAGACAGTACATGCACCGTGCGATTCCCCCTCTCGTCTCTCGGCCCACCTCCAGTGGCTGACACAGCCTCCTCGTTGCCTTTGCCAGGTGCTGCAGAAAGCCAACTGGCCCAGATACTTGCCTGTTGCTGCTGGGCAGGAGCGGGCCCCAGTGCTGGCCCCAGTGTTGGAAAGAAGTGCGGAAGATGGCTGTATGTCCCCTTTGTTTAATGTCCATACCATATGAAGAGCTAGTCTTGTGGCAAAGAGTTAGGGCAGCTGCTTGGAATAGAAGGGGATGGGTGTCTGCACTGGCGGG